GAGAAATGGTTGTGTAGATATGAAAGGTCTAGGTTTCAATTGGTATTAACTTTGCAACTTGTGAATTATAAAATAAAGAGAAGGTGTGAACAATTTAGTTAAATTAGTAGATTCATTTGGCTCAACTTTGCAACATCAAGGTATGCTTAAGATGTTAATTATGAAGTATGTTATTGAGGGCTCTTACATGCAATGCCTTTTCTTTTATTTGTGAACAGATTAAACTTTGTAACGGTCTTGATTGTCCAAGCTTGAAGATTGTTGATACTAGTGTGAACTGAAACAACTGTATATTTTGAATAGAAGTGGCCTGGTGATAATGTATAGTCCATTTTTTGTAAAGAGATGTGAAGTGCACGCACTTATTTGTATTACAAGCATTCATACATCATATTTTTGTACTATTAATTACTTCCTCCGTTTCTATTTAGTTGACGCGTTCGATTTAGACACATATATTAAGGAGGGGAGAGAGAGTGAGAGAGAATGAAAAAGCAAGTGGGGTAGCTTGTAAATGCAAGGTAAAAAATTTACCCCAAAAGGAAAAGTGTCAACTAAAAAAAAAACTTTCTAAAAAGGAATACGTGTCAACTAAAGAGAAACAAAGGTAGTGTATTATGAGACAGTATGAATAGATATTAAATATAAATTCTTTTGTACAAGTATTTTAATTATGTATTTAATTTTGAATCATATATGAATTAGTTGGACAGGGTTCTTTAGTTAATATATAACAATATCAAAGACATTATTGATACTAAAGAGTCTCTATATAATATCGTAAACAGAATTTTCAAAATTTAAATTTTTTAGAAAAATTATTGGATTAGCACATGCCCCTCAGGTTGTTGCTTGTTGTGAGATCAATGAAAATTGGAGGTTTTTTTTTCAAATTTTGAGCTTCGGAATCTTTAGCAGCGGAGAGGCTGGGCTGACTGCTCGCACATACCGCTCCTATTGCTATAGCGTATGCGCTGTTAAGACTTGCCGAGCAGGCATCCGATACGACAGATGACCGGCCCCTACAAGAGAAGAGGAGGCGGGCGCTTAACCCAAAAGGTCGAGGGGTTGCTAGAAACCTCAGTAGGGTTGGTGCTCCCAAGGGTTTGCATTTTTAACCAAACCATTCAACTAGGTTAAAGCGAATGCCAGGAGCGGTATCCATTACCTCGGCAAAGCAGTAGATCTCGATAGAGAACAGGGGAGGAATCTGCTTCGCGAGGGTAGATAGATTCTCACGACTAGGAGGAAGATTGCTAGCATGGAGGGGACGAGAGTTTTGGGTTTGGTGGTTTTGGGGGCGTTATGGTTGCGGGAAAGGGAGGGGGGTTCAGGTGGGTTGGGGTGGTGGTGAGACATGGGTGGTGGTTTTGGGGATGGCTGTGGTGAGTTGGGGGGAAGGCGGCGGTGGCGCGGGGGTTGGTGCTGTGGTGGTGACTGGGTAGTTTTAGGTTTTTATTTATTTTTTTTAAATTTTTTTTCTTTTTTTGGCCAATAATAACATGACACGTGGCTTATCGACCCACTTAACGGATTCCTAAACAGTGGTGGTAATACCAAATTTGTAGAAATTTATCTGGTGTTAAAAATCCATTTTTTTTTATGGAGGTGTTAAAATCAATTTTTGCGTTTTTGTGAGGTGTTAAAATCTAAAATTTCCTAATATTAGGATTATTATGGCAAAAGTGACTATCATTCGGGGACGGAGGGATTAGTTGTTAGGATTATTATGAGAATATTTTGTGATATATCTTGGTTGATTATCTCCTTGTTAGTAGTAGTTTATGCCATAATAATAAGCTGTAAGGTAATATAACCTTCTCCACTTCTGCAAAAGATGATGATGATGATTGCCCCTAAAAAAAAAAAAAATTTGACGATTAAGTGCTCAAATGAAGAGAAATTTCCAAGATAAATTCTTGCTATTAATAAGACATCAATCATACGTATTGTTCATCGTACAACATTCTTATTATTTATATGATTGATTACATTCGTAGCAATGTAGTTTGGAGCAAGAAAGACGACGCGACACTTAAGCTTTAATGAAACTTAGAACGTGGAAGAAATTTGGATCTCTTGAAACTAGACCTAACCACACAACCACACCATGCTGTTGTCATCTGTGACGTCAGTATCATCAATAGCGCCGCATACGATATCTTTCTTAGCTGCAAACACATCGATCGTACTACTAGACGGACAATGAAGATTACGTTAAGGTCAGAGGAAATGTGGATTGTTGGAATATTTGCTTCAAATTGTTAGTGGTTAGTTAACTCCTAATGTTAGTGGAATCATAACAGTAGTGGGTTAGTTTAGTGGGGATTAATGTTAGCATGATCAATGATCATGGGATTATGTTCCTTATTTTTAGTTATATTTTGCACTATATATATGTTGCAATGTAGTACAATTTTAAAATGGATTGAATACAACTTTTATTATTCTTTTCCTTCTCTCATCTCTATTTTATTATTTCAACATGGATGTGTTTTTGTGATGGGTCGGATGGTAGGAACGTTACTGGGGTTTCGCCGTAAAAGCCTTCGGCTAGTTGGGCTACGTATTGAGGGCATTCGGGTTGGTTTGGTTTGGATACCGCGATTAGACCACCCCCAATACGGAGTTCTGAAAGTGCAGTGCGGATGTAGTAGGATCGGAAGAGCCTACTTCGAGTGGGTTCCCTTCGATGTCGAGGTCGTTGGCGGCTGTCTTTGCAGCTCCGATGAAAAGGAAAGTGATAAGGAAGATTGTTGCTGAAAATTGGATGATAAGATTAGCCATTTGTATGTTATTTTTTAAGTTTGATGGGAAAAGTTAGAGTTAGAGGGTAAGGATGCGTTCGTTATTTTAAGCCAGGACATTTTCTATAAGTGCCTCTTTGTTTGGAGCTAAACTTTAGACAGAACCAACAACTAAGTTTGGACATGTGATTGAAAGGATAAAAGGGTAAATTTTAATGTACAATATATATATTTTTTTTTTTACAATAGCAATAAAACTATCGTTATACATACCCTATTAGATTAAATGGAACTAAATTGAATTGGACTAAACTAACTTAATAACAATTAAATAGGAATTCCATAAAAAAAGAGTCTTGAGAATTTTTATTCGATTTAGGAATATGGTGTACGGTGTTAAAAAAAAAAAAAAAAGGAATATGCTTGTATGTTTAGGTTCGTTACCCCAAAACATTGTTGCTTTGGCCAATATGGATTCTCCTTGATTAATTAATAATATGGCCGCTATCGTTTGGTTAAAAAAAAAAAAAAAAATTATTGGTTCATGTCTCAAGCAAAATATCTAAGTTCTAATTTTTGCTCTATTTCAAGCATAAAGGTATTGTTAGATGACCAAATTTATAATTTCAAAATATATAAACAAAAACATAAAATGAATATTACTAGAAAAAATTATCAAAAAACTACACGCTTAATAGGGGTATTTGTAAACAACTACTCGGTAAAAAAAAATTTAAAAAAAAAAAAAACTACCCATAAATTTAAAAACTTAGTGTAGCACTACACATTTCAACTTTCGGCAACAAACTCCGGTGTCAGCCCCAGTTGTTAAATTAGTAACCCCTAACCAATTAACCCCTCCAACCTGGTAAACATTGACCACCTAGTAACCCATGACCCACCTAGTAACTCCTGACCGAGTAACCTATGACCAAACCAAGTAACCCCTAACCGAGTAACCTCTGACCGAACCTAATTTAATAACCTCTGATCGGACCTATTAACCTGACCTAATCACCAATTCCACCTCTAAAGTAGCCACCTAACCACCAATTCCAACAATCAACCATCTTCGAAAGTCGTAACAATGGCGACCACAACACGACCATCATCTAACCTTCAATTGTTGTACTGACTGAACCCACAACACCACCAACTCCCGCATTCACACTACTAACCCCAGCCCCAAACGCCTGCCACTAGCCCCTAACCCACAAACAAACCCTAATCCAACCATACCATTAAAAAGAAAAAAAAATTAATCGAACAAATACCTTAAAAAGTTAACAATGGCTTCGAATTTCACTTCAAGTATGGCTATAAAGGCCAAAATTCGACCATGAAAACTCTGGATCTAGAGTTTTCATGGCTGAATTTGGCCTTAAAAACCTTGAACTTGTTTTCCGATTTACGGAGTCACCAAACCACTACTACCCACCCAGCGAAACCACCTTCTCCGACAAACAAACCACGAAGACGACTATCGATGATGGTTGCGAAATTCGTGTTCTCTGAGAAAATGAGATGCAGGTTCTGGGCTTGGAGAGGAAGAAAAGAGGAGACAGAAGAGAAAGAAAAGAATTTTAAAAAAAATGTGTGGCAGTGTGGCCAGCTACATATTTGTACTTAATTACAATTATTATTCAAGCTTAATTATTTTTTATTAATATGCGCTAACAATATGTTGTTTACAATTGGATTATGCAACAACCATACTAGAAATTTAAGAAGAATTCATTCGTGATTTTCCATCCTTGGAATTTGATATTGCTCAACATAATTTTGCAATTACACTTATATTTTTCATCTCAATATGTAGTAAAGTGTGACTGTGGTGCATGCTCATCACTTAAGTAAATATGTTACAAGCAACGTTTTGTCGAGCGTGCGTGCTTATTTTGCGAATGGGTTTGGTACTATGGTACCCTTTGCAAGTTGTTCCATGTACGTATAGTATAGATTATCTGATTAGAATTTGGGTTTAGATTTGGATCCTCATCTCCTAACCCAAAAATTATATTAATCGTCATAACATAAGTAAATACGAAAAGAAAAAGAGTAATACGAAGTAATACATAATTAAAAGAGAGAGTAAAATTACATAACTCAACTCGGTTGATGAATAAATCATAAACTAGAGGAGGAATTTATTTATGCGTGGACTATATAATATATATATATATAGCCAAATAATACCACGTACACTTACACTGACACACAGTTACATCTTACACAAGTGCCAAATCAACTTAATTAAACATAAGAAGCTAACTTAGGATCAGCTTTCACGAAAGTAACAGGATAAGGAGAATCAGGGACGACTGCCAAAAGCTCGTTAACATATGAAACATCGTTACACTTCATTTCCGAAACTCTAAAAAAATTGGACTCGATTGTGTGACAAAACTTTATATTGTACACATACTTACCAGTTTTAGCTTCTTCAATTTTGAATGCATAAGTGTCCTTAAATTTACCATCAGCACCAACAACAACGTACGAGTTATTGTTTTCGTCTTCTTCGGCTACCCACCAACGTAACTCTTTGTTGCAAGTGGCATACTCACGATTAAAGTAAAATTCAATTGGCATAGAGGTCATAAGAAACCCAATTTTCAAAGGGGAAGACATTAATACGGGTAAGCCGTTAGAGTAGAGTTTTTGGGTGATAAAAAGAGGGCATGGTGACGACGAGTTACCTTTTGTCAAGGCTAGGCCACCAACGCCTATTAAGCGTGGGATGATGTAGTAGCTTCCCCCGTTTTTGACTAGGTCGCCGTCCGTGTCTAGGATAGGGGCGGCGACACTAGAAACGGGGGACAGAACGAAAAGAACAAGAGTAACTGCAGCAACTGGGAGGAGAAATGAAGCCATTTCTCTATTTTGGTGAATCACTTTTGCTAGGGTTATATTGTTTTCTTTTGTTGAGCTTTGTGGGTTGATGAGGAATTGAAATAGAAGGCTGCTATTTATAGAGAATTGTATTGAAAATACAGTTTTTTTTATTTTTGTTTTGGGTCCTTACAAATAAGCGTAACATTGCATGGTGTATGTGCATGAATATTACTCCCTCCGTTCCTAAATGTTTTTTACGTTTTTATTTAGAGTTTTCCTTTTTATTCTTTATATTTAGTATCTTTCCTATTTTAGTCATAAATTTTGGACAAAATTACCCTTGTTTTACAATTTTTATATTCAAAAGTCCTTAATTTTCCATGTGATATTGTACTTTTTGTACTATTTTAATAGTTTTTCAACACTTATTATTACTTTCACTCTCCTTTCTCCTCTAATTTCTTCACCCCACATGCTCAACATTGATTTTTCATTGAAATATTCCAACATGCCTCAACTTTATACAATTTCTTAATAATCGCGCATAATTCCAAACGTAAAAGATAGATTGTCAATGTATAGTCTGTAATACAGTTTTTTTTTTTTTTTTTTTTGATGGAGTGTAATACAGTATTACAAGATTTGGGTCCAACATTATTGGGAAAAGATAGTATAGTATGACATGAATCATGTCGACATAACTAGAAATTTACAAGCATACATTTTGACATGATTTTTATAGTATTTTTTTGTAGTACTGAAGTTGACAAAAGAGAAATTAATTACTTGGACCATTTGTGGTCGTTGAGAAAGTAAATTATAGCTACATGAAAAAAACAAGTGTAAAACTATGACCACTAATATAAAATTGGCTCAAGAGACACCTTTAGAGGCAGTCTTGTGTCTCTAGTTTAAGTTGTCTCTTCATTTGATGACGTGGCCTAACTAATTTCATAGAATCTGAGACCTGTTATCTAAAATATGAGGTCTCCACCATTGACCTAATTTCTTGGCTAAAAATTCTAGCGTAGTCGTCGACTACGGACAACTACGGACGACTATGGTCGACTATAATAAGAGATTAAATCTCAACGGTTTATTTGTAAATTGACTAATCCTAGGCGTTCAAATCGACACCTCAAAAAAACAATCATCAAGTCTAGTCATCAAGTCATTAAGTCTTGTTTGGTTAAATTTATTTGTTCAAACATTTGTTTATTTTTTCTTTTATAAAATTGAATAAAAATATGTTCCAAATAAAAAATATTCATCTTCAACTTATATCATCTAAAACCTTCAGATCAATCTACAACATTCATTCTTCTGGTTCAAATTAATTAAATTCTTATATTTAGTTTGATTTCATAAATTATAATAAAATTAATTTTCTGATTTTATATTATTTATTTAATGATTTAGGAATTAATTTATGGATTAATCGTATTACTTTGTGTTTAACTTTTATTAGTCGTATGAAATCATGAATATCATCCACCATTGATGAACGTTCAAGCTATGACATGATTTTAGGTTGAAGATAGATAAAAATAAAAAAAATAGAACAAGATATTTCTTTTTAGAAACATAAATCAAGATATATAACTAAAATTGAAAGAAGTGTTTCCATAATTTTAGCTATATTTTTTTTTATAAACTGGCGTTATTTGAGGAGGGTTTTTTTTATTTTTTTATTTTATTTTATTTTTTAACAGACTAGGCGTGATTATTTGGAATTTATTTTTTTTAATTTTTATTTTTTTTAAACAGACTAGGCGTGATTATTTGGATTTTTTTTTTTTTTGTTTTGTGAAAGGAGTAGGCGTGATTTGGAGAGGGAATTGAATATATGATAAAATATTTCCCTATATTATTTTTTAAATTTGTTAATATATAAATATAAAATTTTCTTAATTCATACAAGGTTTATTACAAAATAATGTCATTGGCTAACTGATATTATTTCACCATGATTTATTTTTACTTATTTTCTCGTATATGCTATTGACTCCTTATCTTTAAGATTTTATTTAGTTTATTCTATGAAAATATTCTTTTCTATCTTTGTACAATATCTTTTTAGGTAGGATATTTTTCCATTCTTGGCTCTTTGTGTATGTATAATATATTGTAATTACATTCCTCCTTTCAAGGGAAACAAAATATAATAGGCATACGTGCATTAAAATCTAATATATATAAATAAAGTAGGCATTTTTGGAGAGCGTTGAGAGCGCCACATAAGAAAAGGTATATTTTCGACCAATTAAAAATTATATTTCTTTTTTATTTTAGAATTAAAAAAATCACTCACCACCTAAACAAAAGTGACGAATGAAATTTTAAATTTTTTCCACGTAGGTAAAAACGACGAATAGTAATTTATTAGGATTTTAATTATTTAAGAACCACAAAAATATTTATATAAAAAAATGTATATAAAAATTTGTGCATCGCACGCCACATAAGCAAAAGTAATATTTCGACCAATGAAAAATTAGATTTATATATTAATTTAGAATTTTAATTTTCATTCGCCATTTAAGAAAAAATTAACAAATGAAATTTGAGAATTGAAAACAAAAAAATAGTAATTTAAGATTTAAATTATTAAAAAAAATAAAAATTATCTTTTATATTATCTTTTACATTAGGATTTATATTATTTTAACAAATAATTAAAAATTAAAAAATATATTTTGATTTAATGATTTTATCTAACTATCCGATGAATGAGATAATATTTATTTCAATTTATAAATTCAAGTTCTATATACGTTAATTTTAAATAAGAATAATTTAAAACTTAACAAAATATTTTACCTTAAATTAATGTTAAAATAATAGAATAGAAAATAAAAACAAAAAAAATTAAGAAATTACAAAAAAAAAATATACAAAATGAATACAAACTTTTAAATAAAACGGATGTTCAGTAAATTACTGAACATCCGTTATAAAGTGACAATAAAATGTGCAAAAGTTACACTAAAACGCACAAAAGTTATTGTGACATATATAAGAGTTATTATGCTTTATTGATAAATTTGACAAAAGTGACACTAAATTTGACAAAAGTGACACTAAATCTGACAAAAGTGTACCCGATATACAGTAAATTACTGAAAACCGGGTGTATACAAAAGTTTTCCCAAAATGAAATATTTAAAAAACGTGCATTGCACGGGCTTACATCTAGTTAATTTTAAAATCACGGTAATTTTTATTTAGGGAAGTAGCTAGTAGGGCACTTGGCAAGGAAAAATATTGAACCCTGACTATTATGTGTTTTTTTTTTTTTTTTTTGAATAGACTGTTATGTGTTTGAGATGTAGAAATGTAGGAATAAAGCTAAGAAATGTAGGAATATATCCAATAAAATTAATCAACCTAATTATGTGTTTGAGAATCAAAAGATAATTGATAATTAAGTGTAAGAATGTGAATAATGTGAATTTACAAGTTTTGCACTAAAAGTGAACCTCGACTATTATAATGTGTAAATAAGGTCACTAATTGGTGACACACAATGATAATCTAGGTGGTCCCAATATTTTACATTGTTCTTTTGTTTAGTTGAATTATGTATAATTAGTCTTTATTCAAAAGATATAAATATTTAACTAAATTTATTTCAGATAAACACGTACATATTTTGAAGATATGACACCTTGAGGGAATGTAATCAAGTATACATGACTCTTTGCAAAATTATATATGAAGGGACCAGTTCACATTTAATAAGTTGAGGTGAACTGATTGGAACTGAACTGAACTGAACTGATTTGAGCTGAACTGAACTTAATTGAACTGATTGGAGCCGAACTGCATAGAGTTTAAATGAATATCTTATGAGAGAAGAAAATTAGGAGCTGAACTGAACTACGGGCCTGTTAATATTTACTTAATTTCAGTTCAGTCAGTTCAGTTCTAATCAGTTCAGTTTAGTTTAGTTTAGTTCAGTTCAACTCCAATCAGTTTAGTTCAGTGCAGTTTAGTTCAGCTCCCAATTTCCTTCTCTCATAAAATATTCATTTCAACTCAGTTCAGCTCCAATCAGTTCATTTTAGTTCAGCTTCAATCAGTTCAATTCAGCTCAGTTCAGCAAATATGAACAGGCCCTACGAAGGAAATTTTCAGCTCTATTCAGTTCAGTTCAGCTCCAATTATGAGTAGTTCAGTTCAGTTCAACTCAGTTTAATTAGTAAATCAGAACAGGCCCTAAGAGGTACAAAAAATTTATCTTTAATATAAATTCTTATTTGATTTACTTACCACTATAATTTTATCTTCCTTAATTATCTTTTGACAAATTATCATTCCCTTAAAATAATTATTATAAGGTGAAAATTATTTTTTTTTTTTTTTGGTGACACTCATTTATAATTTAGGTGGTCCTATAGAAACATATAGATCTTTTGTTTAGTACTTTTTCTAATAAACAAATAGTAAAGTATTATTGTAAAACCGCGCATTGAACTAGTGGAAAAATACGCACTACTTATCTACCTCTATAGTTATTATTTTTTGTTTTTGATATGAATATATGATCTTTAGTTTAAAAGTTCATCCATAGTGGAATCATTACAAGACTAATAAAAGTACCAATATAATAGTAACAAATAATTATCTTAAAATTTTCTAATGAAAATTAAATACATACTTGTATTAAACAGAAGTTACTCAAAATTTATAACCATAATCCTATAGAGCATACATACATAAATTTTGCTTTTAGATATCCTCCATTAAAATTTGGACATTCCCAAAATTTAATTTTGGACATATCCAAAATTTGTTTATTTTTATTTTTTTAGTTAAGGAGCATGATTGATTGACTATTAGTTAGTCCCAAATTATATGTTAAATATCAGTTTACCTTTAATCGAAGGATCAATGATTATCGGAATTCATAGACACAAGAATCCTAACAAATTAGATTATTAGTCCTTATTATTCCCCACGAAGGATTACCCTTCATAGAAACCCGACAGAAGATTACCCTTCGTAGAAAAACACCTCTCAACCCCTACATAGCATAC